AAGCATGGAGTTTTAAAATGTTTTAAAGGTTTCTATTTACACAATATTCAAAACAGAAACTGAATAGCCATATGCAAAAAAAATCAAAACATCGCTATCAATCCTTACCTCAATATTAAAACCCCAAATGGATCTGTAGAGCAAACATTAGGAGAATAATTTCTAGTTGAGCGTGGTGGCACAAGTCTTTAAACCAAGTATATGTGGACAGATCATATGATGAGGTTAGCCTGGTCTACTACAAACTGGAGTTTCAGGACAGCCTGGACTACACAGAGAAACACAGTCTCAAAACTGCCCCCCCCCCAAAAAAGGGGCTGGGGATTGAGGAAGAAGAGGAGGGGAAAAAACATATAACTTCCAAAAAATACAACCGGCAGAAAATTTAAATGGGCCTAGGCTTGGCAAAGATTTCTTATGTGTCACACACACAAAAAAAATGAACTAAACTTAAAAAAAAGTAACAACAAAAACCCTACGAACAAAACTTAAAAAATCCACGAAACTATATTTCTTATGATTTGCAAAATTCTAATACCTTCAATAAAAATACTAATAAATACTGAATATAAACAAAATAAGCATTTAGCCACCACTTCGACTCCTTCTACCATTCAGGAGAAAAAAATCTATCCTGTAAACGGGGACAGTAACAAAGCAGTGGCAGGGTGGGGCCTGGCAAAGGGAAGAGTAGGGCCACCAATGAATGCACAGCCTAGTGTGTGAGCCGGGACGGGACAGAAGAGAGGAGACAAGAGATGCTTTGGCTGTCTGTCCATCTGTACTGCTCAGACCTCACCAAGCTGGAGGACATGAAGAACACCTGGTTCTGGGACCACCGTCACCATCAACTCCTCCTCTCATTACTCTTCAAGGAAGGGAATTAAAGGACACAGGAACAAACACAAGTGGTGCACATAAAATGCTCTTCTATGGGGCAGGGATATATTTATCATCCCTATTACTTCTCACCAATGCTGTTTATTCAGCACTGGTCAAATACAGGATACAGCGTTACGTTTATGATTTTTTCCAGTACTTGTTTCTTCCTTCATTGAAAAGGCAGCAAGCAACTTATGGATTCAGTATTTGCTGACTATCTGTGAGGCTACAAGGACTCTCTTTATGACAATAAAAATGTCACAAATATAAGTACAAAAAGCTTGTCCTGAGAAAACACAAACCCTAATTAGAGCACTGAATTACTAGTCTTTAAGTGACTGTGGGACGCACACCTCCTCACTTATTCTGCACTCTCTCTCCCCCTCCCGCCCCTGCCCTATTAAGAAGTTAGTAGTATCTGGTTCAATTCCCAGCACCAACAACCAACCAACAGGAGAAATAATATCTGGATTGTTTAGTGAGCACTTGCTACCCTTTTCCTAGCTTGATTTTTATTCCTCCTCTTAACCACATGCTCACCCTCATGAACTCCAGGAGTGGCAAAGCTAGAACAAAGCAAAAGGGGTGGGGGGGATGGGTGAAAACTTAACTGCTGCCATTAACGATCCTGTTTACTTTATTACACTAAACGGGAGTGGACAAACGCGTAAACTGTGTCTAAGCACCAGTGCTACCATGTTAACAAATCAGTATGTTCATTCATTCAACAAGCACTCAATTAAAAAAAGAAGCATTTGTGGTGTGATTATTCCTGGAACCTCCAGAAGGCAGTCTCTTGCAGCAGATGTCCCCTCTTAACTGGCCACAACACACACCAGTTGTTTTGTAATTTGTCATTCATTCAATAATATCAAATAATAATATCAGATATCAATAATATTAAACGATTTTAATCTTTAGAAAGGTACATTAAAATTTTCTTCTGGGGGGTGAAGTGTAAAAAAAATGTTATTCCTTCTAAACACAACATGAAAAACTATAACTATAGCTGAGTGTAGCTGAATTGGCTTTGGCTTGGGAGTGGCCTTCCTAAATGGAGCACATGTACTCCATGTCTCCTCACCAAATTACATCCTTATGAGTCTCCATTATTTCATCTGAGCTAAAAGCATAACTTTAAAATTAATTTCAAGAACTACTGTGATCCATTAATATATTGCATTATCTAAACACATTTCATTTGGGACCAATTTCATTTTTCAATGAAGATGTCTTCTCAAAAGTCTACAAAATTAAGCTAAGTTGTTTTTTTCTTTATCATACTTTTCCCATTTTAGAAAAGTATATGAACAAAATCAATGCAGTAAATACTAGTTTCAACAAGATGAGCATTTTCTAAATAGTGGACTGAAAGTATAAAGTGAAAGGGTTACTAACAACACCCCAGCACAAATCCCATACCTACCACACTCTGTTTCTACAAGAGCGCTCAGAAGATCCACCAAACTGCGGGCACAGAGGTGAGTACAGGAATAATACCTTGTGGTGCACAGAGCTCAACAGTTTCTCCCTCTTTGGAAAAGAAACCAGAAGTCTCTGCCCCACCTACTGATAGGCATCTGGAATCTTGGCCCTATGAAAATCTAAAAAATCACTAACACTTAAGCTACTACACATAGAATCGTTAATCATTTCTTTTCAACTTTAAAAAAAGACAAAAATCTACTTTTTTAAAAGAAAATATTTTTAAGATATAATAACTAATGAAGACAGGTGGTGGTGGCTCTGTGAGTTCAAGGCCAGCCTGATCTACAAGAGCTAGTTCCAGGACAGGCTTTAAAACTACAGAGAAATCCTGCCTCAAAAAAACAAAATATATAATATTTATTTTATTATTTATTTATTAGTAAATAACTAATGAACAATGAGTTAAAACTGTGGTAAATATTATAAGATATTACATCCTGGGCAAAACACTGGTATTAGATAATGAACTTTTTACACTTGAGATTTATCTTTTACAGATTCCCTAAATTAGCAGTTCTCAACCTGGTGGGTCATGATACCTTTGGGCGGGGGTCAAATGTCCCTTTCATTGCATCAGTAGGGACCATCAGGAATCACAGATATTCAGATTACGATTCATAACAGTAGCAAAATTAGAGTTATAAAGTAGGAATGAAAATAACTTATGGTTGGGGGTCACTACAACATAAGGAACTACATTATGAAGCTTGAGAATCATTCCTCTAAAAAATATTAAAAGGTCAAATGATAAGGCTTTTAATGAAATGGAGAAAAAAGAACATTTTAATATACCTATATTAATTAAAAATTTTTGTGCTTACAAAGTATTGTTTCTCACCACCTTAGCGAGACTATCACAACTGCCCAGTAGAACTCTATGCATCTACTAAAATCAAAATCAACAAGGCAAGCTCCAGTAAACCATGCCAAAAAAAATCCTCACAGCAGCTGGTTTCTAAGCTTTATAATTATGACAACACGTACTCTCTTTTCTTTCAAATAACCACAAGAGCCTAAGTAAATAAAATCATGAAAATATTTTAGAGTGTTTTCCCAAATACAATGAGTTTTAGTCAGAACTCACTTGATTCTAACTTCTTTTTCAGAAATATTCATCCACTGTGTTCATCTCACAATTTATCAATAAAGGATTCATGCTACCGCAAAAGTCTGCAGGATTATTGCTGTCATCTCATTAAGTACAAAACTCTAAACCGGTGCTTGGCCTGCTTGCTGCCTACCCTACCGACCCTCCGCTGTTCCAACACCACCATTTTACTGGCAGAACATCCACAGGCTCAAGATTGTTTTGCAGCTCAACAAACAGAATGGTTGTGATCAGGTGGCTAGCCACAGACCAGAAGTTAGAAAGGTCAGAAATAAATAAATAAATGAAATAAACACAAACCTTCTTAATTATTTTTTATTTTCAAACTCTACAGAAAGTAGCTACATCTCATTTGTAACCAAAGTTGCAAGCAGAAGCTTATTTACCTATTTCTAGTAAGTCAATATAATCTTGTCATCAGATCATGCCCTGAAACTCATACACATTTTGCCATGAAGGATCAGCTAGTTCTTGTTTTAACAATATTTTTCCTCTATCGTTTCCTTATCACCATGTAATTTTCCATATTATTTTCCTAAATTTTCAATGTATGAACAAAGACAGCCCTGAAAATCAGCCCTAGAAAAGATGAATCAACATGGCTTAAATACAACATTAACATTAAGTACATTAAGTACAAATTGATAAAATAAGCAAAGAAAAGGTAACTGTCAACTTTCTGCCTAAGAACCTCAATTCAAAACATTTTAGATACATATTTAATATACACAATTTTGATAAACAGAAGTGAACACAGAATTTATTTATCAAAATAGGGAACTTTGATCTCATTTTTACAGTAAATAAAAGTATCTTCATTTTGCTTATAAGGGAAAATAGTACTTTTCATAAAATATCTGCTTACAGGTATAATCATATGACTGACAGATAAAATAATTGCTTTAAAAATACTTCTGAGTCATTTTGTCCTTACCTGCAGGCATGAACCATGACTGCATGCAGTGACTGTTCCATTGCCTAGCAGAGACTTGAAGAAACATCACATCTCTTTTAGAGAATGTGACTAATCTGTGGGTTTGCCATTCCTAAGCTATGTACAAATGGCACTCCCTTTGTACATTAAAAAAAATACTTATTACAAGAAAAAAAATCAACTATGTTTAAGCTAGATATTATAAATATCCTTGGAAATTCTATGTAGCAGCAACCTCAAAAAATAGGAACAGAAATCCCATAATAGTTCCTTTAAAAAGCACAAGATTTCCTTGGTTAAATTTTTTTCAGTTTTCAGCAGCTGTCACACATGAGCCAGCGGTCTGCTGTGTTATGGTGTGCATGCTGCAGCTGATTAAGCTGACTGTTTTTCTTTAAAAAAAAAAAAAAAAAAAATCAATTACCCTTCGCAAAGCAGAACAGCTTGCCCAAACACATCTTCAATACAGCACAATGCCAGCATGCAGTACAACATTATATAGCAAACTTGACAAGGAAAAGAATATGTCCTATTTGTTTCTTAGCAATGCTACACCATTAATTGTTCATGCAAGAGATGTAGCTGTACCTTTCTGAAGAGGACGACTTCTCAGAGTTAACTGACATCAGCAGCTCAATCTTCTGCTTGATTTCTGGAAAAATCAGAAAATATTCACAACCAAGATTGCCTGCCCTCGCTTATAAGCCTTATATCAAGAGATTTTTCTTCTCTAATCCCTTTTGTTCAGAATGAGGCCACAAGATTCACAGTACTTCTGTTAGGACTCGGATTCAATGGTGCTATAAAGGGAAAACGCTCCAGAGGCATCAGGCCTTGCTAAACTATGCACATGACTGTTTATGAAAGCAGGAAGTACCATTTCTCTTAAGCAGAGGGGTGTCCTTTTTTTCCCCAAGGCAGAACTACCCGAGCTCTATAAAAAGGCTTCAATTTGAACAAATTAGAATACAAACAAGAAACACTAATATCTAAACTCAATATACTAAATAATTTAAGAAGCCTAAATTATAATGTTTCAGTCTGCAATGAACAGATTTGCAACCCCTGCCTGCTTCTATTTGATTAGCCCTGAAAAATATGGCTCAGTGAATCATTTTTGTCACTTAAGAATGAAATATTAAACCAAAACCCCAATTCAATGATTAAAATATGCTTAATCTTTGTTACAATTTCCTGATTGTCTTTAATTAAAGATATATTTAATATCTAGTCCCTAATGCCTTCAAAAAGAGTCTTCTTTTTTTACACCTTAGCTCTCCCCTCCTCCTTCACAGTATACAAGTGCACAGCAACACCCAGGTACCGAGCAGAGATGATACTCTTGTCCTTTCAGGAAAGGACTGGCAATGCTGCCTACATCAGAAATTTAAGTACAAGTTCAATTTAACTGGGAAGACGGTTGCTAGAACCAAGTTAGTCAGAAAAAGGACTTAAAAGATGAAAAGAACAGAGCAAAGGTAAAAACTCAGGAAAAATACACAACACTTGACCAAACACACCGTCAAGTAGCCAAGGCTCACAATTTCAAGTGAGTAAAACCTAGTATTATTACTTCACATAAAAAGCTGTTTTTCCTATTCCTGAGAAGTATTTTCAACTGTATTTTTTTAATTACAGGATACTTTTATTTTAAAAAAGTTCACATAAAAATAAAACTATTGGGATTCGGGTTTTAACTCAGTGGTGGAGACTGGCCTAACAAGTGCAAGGACCTGGACTGGGTCCTCAGTTCTGAAAACAACAATAAATAAATAAAACTAAAAGGCCTCAGGAACTGTGTGTATGTGTGTGTGTGTGTGTGTGTGTGTGTGTGTGTGTGTGCACGCGCGCATGTTTCCTCAAAGTAAAACAATGTTTTTAAATGCTGAATATGCTAATAAAATTAAAATAATGAAAAATGTAAAGGAAAAAACTAGCTGCATAAATGCAACACAGTAAGAAAATTCTTTCCAAGTATTAAGGGATTTCCCTAATTTAAGCCTATATTCTCATCCCATAGGCAATATAAAATTAACTAAACTGGCATAATAATAAAACATACTTTGAGAATTCTGAGGTAGTCTACAGAGCCCAGTACAAGGGGCCACACTGAAATTGTTCAGTCAACACCCCCCCCCCCCATTTCAAAAGGAGAAATGGCTCTGCCTGGGACTTCTTCATATCAGTAACCATGGGACCTCAGCAAACTGCCTGCACTCTCTAAAGCCTCTCTCATCTATAAAGCAGGGATAACTATTTCAACTTGGTAGGCCACTACCAAGTTATTATTAAATAATCCATGCAAAGCCCAGCAAATGTTGTGCTTGGCCTGTCCCTGCCTGCTGTTAAGGCCTGCCTAGCGAAGCACAGCACTCTCTCACTCCTAGAGTTAATGAGACGCAGGCCTGTCTTTCTTGACATTTCCATAGTTTTAAATTCACTTTCTTCTCCCTTTTATTATCAACTTTAACATGTTTTTGTTGTTGCAGTCAGTATGTTATTGTATGAAGAGGCTAACTGTACTCTACCTCAGGCTCCCTACATGTTTTGAACAGGTATTTCATAGTGAAATATCTTGAACTACAGTCACTTTAACAATATTTTGTTGCAAAAGTATTTTATTTTTGAACTTATTTTAGTTTGTCTGTATAAAAAACCTTCAAGGTAAAACTTAACTATTGTAACTGTGGGGATAAAAAACACCCTACCAATACGACAAACAGTTTGCCATATCCCTTTCACCTTTCCACCAAGTCATGAGATTTGTTTAGTTCCAGAAAAACAAAGTTTCATTGATGATTATAAACTCTACATTAGTGTCATACCTTGTGAGGCCCTATGTGCCTTTCCACCTACACCATTACCTATTTATCCCTACTGAATCTGTTACCATCACTGGTCTGGTTAGCTATTAGGAATTTCCAAAACAACTGGGCAGTGGTGGCACCCACATTTAATTCCAGAACTTGGGGGGCAGAGGCAGGTGAAGTTCTGAGTTCAAGGCCAACCTGGTCTACAGAGTGAGTTCCAGGACAGCCAGGGCTACACAGAGAAGCACTATCTCAAAACAAACAAACAAACAAATTAACATTTAAAAATCCAACGTGTGTTTACAGTTACCTTTTAAGACATTATCCCCCACCCTATCTCCAACAATTTAAAAAATACTTTTTTTCACCACCACTCCTGAATTCTCATATATTTGCAACCTTGCGAATACCTATTACTTCAACCATTACTCAAACTCTCTATTTGTATTTCTATACCATCTTTTTAAGGCTCATCAACCTGGGATGACTCAATAGATAAGGCACCTGCTATTACTGAAGCTGGCTACCTAAATTCAAACCTCAGGAACCATATACTAGAAGGAGAGAACCAATTCCTGGCAGTTGTTCTAACTTCCAAATATATACCATGGCCCACACAGAACACCCTCAATGCAAAATGGAGACGTAAAAGAATAATTATAAAAATTAAAAAATAAAAGTCCGTCAACCTAATTGCTTTCCTTCAGGTTCCATCTGCATTACCTCTGTCATCTGTGTAACACACTGCTACACTCAGAATGCTCAATGGTATTACAGTTAGCTCCTTACATCTCCAAGCCTTTAATTCATCCTTTGGCATGGTCCCATGATCCTATTTCTACTCACAGCTTAAAAGTATGCTTCTTCAGGAGGATCTCTGTGAGTTTGAGGCCAGCCTAATACACAGAGCGAATTCCAGGACAGTCTCCAGAGAAATCCCATCTCAAAAAAAAAAAAAAAAAAACCAGAAAGAAAGGAGGGAGGGAAAGAAAATATGCTTCTTTACCTCACAGAGAAAATAAGTTTTAGTTTCTGCATAAAATTATAGGAGGATATAAGTTTTATTGTCTCATTCTCCAGAGTAGTTGGGTCTACAGATATATATGATCAAGCATAGACATTGTTCTTTTTCCTTCTTTTTTTCTTGGGAGGGGGGGACTGGGTTTTGTTGTTGTTGTTTGGGGGGGGTTGTTTGTTTGTTTTCTTTTTTTGGAGACAAGGTTTCTTTGTATAGCCCTGGCTGTCCTGGAACTCACTCTGTATACAGACCAGGCTGGCCTAGAGCTCAGAGATCCTGCCTCTGCCTCCCCTGTGTTGGGATTAAAGGCATGCGCCACCACCACCCGGCTCATCTGTTTATTCTTAATGCTTTTACTTGTGTAATTCTCTGGAACTCTAAATCCATCACAGGATTATCATCTTCCACCCAATTCTCACATATTGGTAACACCTAAGAACCTTCCACATTCACTAACACGTCTGTAGCCTAATTCTCAACAACTCTAAAGGCATTAATGATTCTGTATATGATTTGCCAGTCTGGTGTATTCTGTGCAACCCAAATCCCCAATCTCCCCTCATACTTTCCATTAAATAGTCCCTGAGTGTGTACAGTATCTAAAACTGAACTCATCAATTACTCGGCCTCATGTCTACTTTATTTCAGCCTTCAGTATGTCATCTACCACTAAGCATGCCCTTTACAGTCTAACTGTGAAGAGTATGTCATCTACCACTAAGCATGCCCTTTACAGTCTAACTGTGAACAGCACAATTGCTCTTCCCAGATGCATCCCACTGTCTTATTTGGAATATAACTGCCACATTCTCGCTTTTATAGATGCTATCCTCTGCAAGCCCTAAGCTCTATTCCATGTGGGACCCCAAACACGCTACGCTTTCTCACACCACAACCACTACACAGTTTTCTTTCCTGGACACCATGAGATCCCTCTCACCCATATAACTAACTTTTTCATAAATTCATGCAGAGCCAGCCATATAATATTAGACTAACTGAATGATACTTTCATAAACCAACTGAGCTAGTCAGCTTATTGCGCACATAGGTGAACTGCATCAATTTATAATGAGAATCTACAGGAAGAAGAGTGGTTCAAGTTGATCATACTCCACTTTTTCCAAAAGACTGTTTCTTGGTTCCAACAAATAAATTATCACAGACTCAAGCAACCAAAGTTGAGCATTTGGTCTTCATTTTAAACAAAGAAAAAAAAAAGGTGTATGTGCCCATGGTGGCCAGAGGTGTCGGAACTCCTTGGCAGTTGTAAGCTGCCCAACATGGTACTGGGAACTAAAGTCAGGTCCTCTACAAGAGCAGTATGTGGGTGGCCTCAACTACTTAGCCATCTCTCCAACTCCTCAGCCTTCTCATATACTGGCTTTTAAAATGTAGGTTTATCATGCCTTATAAGAATTGAAATTATACCACTACTAATTAGCCTTGATTAAAATAAGGTGGTCTGTGACACCATATTCTTCTTCTTGCACTTCTAATGTATACCTTGTAAACCAAATCAAAGAAACACACTGGGCTGTCAAAATGGCTTAGATGCTGTGCAAGCCTGAGAACCCAAAATAAACATGGAAGAGAACTAATTTCACAAAGTTGTCCTCTGATCTTCACATGCATGCCATGGCATACGCAACCCAAATCCAGCACATACACATTATACAACACACACACACACACACACACACACATTATACAACACACACACACACACACACACACACACACACAAAAGAAGAGCAAAGCTGGGTGATGACAGCACACACCTTTATCCCAGCGTTTGGGAGGCAGAGCAGGTGGATCTCTGTGACTTGGAAGCCAGCCTGGTCCACAGAACTAATTCCAGGGGAGCCAAGACTATACAGAGAAACCCTGTCTCAAAAACAACAAAACAAAGGTAACTAAAGCTTTCCCTACTTAGTTTTTTGAGACTGGGTATCTGAAGGACTGGGCTTGAACTGGCTACTTAGCTCCAAGAATGAGAGTTTGAACT